AAAAAATTGGGGGTAACACAATTTAATCCATAATATTGGGTTGTTGGAAAAGTCATGACATATTTTTTCTATGTTTTTCGTTGCAAAAATGCGTTATGACTTTTCCTACAACCCAAGAGTATACAATTAAAGTAGGAACTATTTAGAGTGTAAATATTCAAACAGGTGGGGAATATCAAAGAGGGAGATTAGAAAAAGCACATTGCTTGCTTACTGTTTTATGCAATAAATACAGTAACAGATGTTCCACAAAATCTGGAAAGACAAAAGTAAAATGAAATGAGTATTTAGTGGGAATGGGTTGTTTTTTTAAAATTGTGAAACAGATTTAGCTGATTGGACCATTATTAAGTATAATAGACTAGAGTTTCCATGATTTGATCTAAGTTTGTATGTATTTTCTTTTCTTTTTGATGCTTCTCTTTTTTCCCCCTAAATGGGGGCTGGTAGGAGAATGGTGGTTGATATTAAAACAAGGCTATATATAGCGTATTGTTTTGGGTTTTCTACCATAATCCAAATCCATAGCTTCTGGTTTGTTGATGGGATAAATGTGATGGTAAATGCCACATAACTGGATTGGACATGTCCGCTGAGTAAAATAGGAGGCTGCTGGGTAATGATCCAATTCTAGTAAATGGAATTGCATTTTAGGGATATCATATTTTGTTGGCCTGCCTTTGTACAGGATTATGTTTTACCTTTGGCAAAATTAGAAAGTGATAGTTGGAAGTTGAAGTTGAAATACTAGTTGCAATAATAGAAACATGTTGTTAATCTCTGTAGTTATCTGTAGTAGTGGACCAAAGTCTGCTATATCAGCGCTCTGTTACCCACACATCTGTAACTTAATGGATTTTCATGGCAATCTGTAAGCTTCCAAACCATCTGTTTTCTACCTCTGCATGTCAGGGTTTTGTTTGTTTTTAATAATCACAGCCTTGTTATCGTCCATGAAATATTTGCTTATGCTGTTATAAGCATATATCAGAAATGATCCTAAAGCATTAATACCTTTTGATGACGAGTATGGCCTCTGATGATTGTTGGAAGAGTTCCAGATACTTTTCATTCATTTTGCTTATAAGTGCAAGGCTGAATGGTTCCAGCCTTAAATAGAAACCATAAATGATTGTGACACTATTTAAAGCCACAGGACCTAGTGGAGTCCTGCTACCACACAGAATGGTCCTATCTGAACTGTCTGTGCACAGTGAAATCCTAAGTTGAGGTTGCACTTACAGAAGATCTCAAGTTCATATTTTGGGAAATATGAGTCTGAGATTGACACGTTGGTGTCCTCCCTCCCTTACACCTGCTCCAAGCACAGGGGCAGCTTGTCTGCTCCTCCTTTCTCTTTGGACAGACTTCTCAGCTGCCTGGAAACGAGTTAGCCACTTCCTGGTTATGACGTAATCTCCCTGCTTCAGAGAAAAGAGGATTTCCTCCAACTTATTTTCAGCAAAGGATTAGAGACGATCAAGTTCTGCCATTAGAATATTATCTAGATTGTTGATTTTTCAAGAGGGTCTCAGCAATTGCCCACTCAAACACAAGTATGGTGATAAAATCCTGGAAAGATCATTGGTGTGGAAGATATGCACTTTGAGGGTAAGTCAGGTCTAGATTTATCTGTCACTTTTAGATAAAATAGCTGATAAAACATCTGAAAATAACAGGTAAGCTCTATGCATGTGGAATAATTTAAATTATGTATTTCTTTAGGAAGTGGTTGTTTTGATTCAGATAAATATAGATAAATCATTAAAATATTAGATAATCATGAAGTATATACCGTATTTCCCCATGTATAAGACGCTCCCATGTATAAGATGCACCTTATTTTTGAGGCCCGAAATTTGAAAAAAAAAGTATTATATAACTTCTTTTTCATCAGCAATTCTTCTTGCCTCATGCTGAACCATCTTTGTGGACACAGGAATTCCAATTGCCCTTTGCTCTTCAATCCATATCTTCAATTCCCTCTCTAAATCTGGCCATTTTGCTGACTTGCCTCTCATGGCCTCCTTCTGCCGTGGCATTTTCAGTAGGGTTTCTTCTTCCCGTAGCCAGTCTCAGATTGTTTTCTCAGTTGGAGGAGGACCAAACTTACGTTCAGCAGCACGATTTCCATTCACTTTTGCAAACTGGATCACTTTTAACTTGAATTCAGCACTGTACGAAAATCTTTTCTGAGCCATTTCTGGGCAGAACGTGGCAAAATGTAACCTACCGTAATATACCGGTAACAAGTACGAAACTATGAGCACAAAGACAACAAGCGCAAAAAAGCGGGAAATGCAAGTAAAAAATCTACAACCTCTGTATAAGATGCACCCAGTTTTAGACCCCAAATTTTTTTGAAAAAGGGTACATATGGTATTCCATGGGGAAATACAGTACATGCTTTTTTTTTTTTTTCCGTAATAACCAACTTTGGTGTAAATCGGAAAGCAACATGCATATAAAGACAGCTGGAGTGGTTGTCACGGTGGTCAGAGTTTCTTTTAGTCCTCATTTCTGATGTGTCTTAACTCATTTCACCAGTCCTCTAATGTAGAATGGGAATAAATATGCAACCTCTTGGCATTGAAGAACCCATCAAGTGTCTTGTAAAGAAAAGTATTTGATGTGCTTAGAACATAGTAGGTGCTCAACATTTGATGTTCATCAAATATTTATTTAGCACCTGCTGTATGCACTGGGGATTCAGTAGGGAGCAAGATGCACAAACATCCTGGCTCTCCTAGAGGCTGCATTTTGGTGGTAGATGATAGAGAATAAACAAGCACATAGCATGACAGGGGTTAGGAAGTGCTGCAGACAAAAATGAGATGGGAAGAGGGATCAGGAGATGTGTGGGGGTGGTAGAGAAGGTCAGGGCAGGCTTCCCTGGGAAGGTGACAGGAGCCAGGTCCTGAGGGGGCCAGGGGCAAGGGGGAATGGTGCCAGGCAGAGGAAACTTGAGAGCCGGGCCCACTGAAGCCTGATGGAGGACACAGGTCCTGAGGGGCGAGGGGACTGGGGGCCAGTGGGGATGTGAACCAGGGATGGGGAGTGGCTTACATCTTGTGTAATAGGAGCACATTGCCGCCCCTCAAATTTCATTGTGTAAAATATGGCCTATGTTATATGTGTTACTTTCTGATAAAGTTTTAAATTTGTTTTAAAATTATATGGCCAAATGAGGAGAGTGTTACATAATAGATAAATTAGGATGATTTATAACATTATAAAGATATGTTGATTTATTGAATGAATATACAATAAATTGGGTTTTTTTGGCATTTAAAAAATTTTTTTACAATAAGTTGGTTTATTGGTACATTTTTATTGTGGTAAAACACACTTAACATAAATATACCATTTTAACCATTTATAAGTAAGTGTATAATTCAGTGGCTATAAGTACATTCACATTGTTATGCAGCCATTGCCGCTATTTATTTCCAGAACTTTTCCACCATCCCCAAACAGAAACTAATTAATGGGCAATTTTAAGTGGCTTATTCTACATTTGATATTGTATGTCTTGCTTTTTTTGGAAACATTTTTTTTTAATCAATAAAATGACCTTAACAGGGTCATGAGAAAACTTATTGAAATCTAAGCACTAATTCAATTTTAATGGAAAATGTACCCAGGTAGGAGGGGTTTTTTTTTCCTTTAAATAATTGGTGATGGTAAGTTTTATTAAGTTAAACACCTGAATGTGAGGACTCATTTGAGCTTTATGTTTTGCTTAATATGTGCTTGTCTGAGAGCAACAAGAGAAGAAATCTTTGAAAAACTGTCTTAGAGCAAGTAATTCTTCAATAAGAGACAGAATATCATAAAAGTTATGTTTAGTTGACAGTACATTCAAATAATACAGTCATGTTGATAAGTTTGTGTAATGATTGTATAAAGTTGCATTGGCTTTTTCCTAAGTGCATTTATAAGAAATAGGAATTAGAGCATTTTATGTCACATTTTCTTCCCGAAGCTCCATTCTGCTAACTGATTGGTTGGAATATGTTTTCTATTTTCAGTTGATTTGTAACATTTATTTTTTTATTATCTAAAAAATTACTAAGAAATAGGTAAATTAAATTTAAAATTATATTTGAGAATGTTTTTTCTATAAAATTGTTGGTTCTGTGAGAAGCGATTTCCTGTTATTTCTACTCTAAAGGGGATATGAGGGGTTTTTTTTTGGTTCTTAAACTGAAGTAATTCTTTGATTTCATAAATTGTGCTGTTGTTTTTCAGAGAACTACATGGTTTCAAAAGCTGCGAGTCCCTTTTATTAAGTTCTTGACTGATTAAGAAGAAACAATTGTAAATGGAATAATTATAGCTCTTAAATAGTTTGGCTCATTAAAAAAAAAACAGTGGTGGGCTGGCCCAGTGGCGCGATGGTTAAGAACTGGCTTGGGACACCAAAGGGCCCCGGTTCTGATCCCACATGTGAGGGCCAGTGACACTGCCCTCCACAGCTAAGATGCTGAACAACAGCTCAACCTGGAGCTGGGCTGCTGTGAGTCGCCGG